TCGATAGAGTTTAGTCGAATGCATGATAGCAGAAAAATCTTGAGGGTGTGGGTGTGGGTTTCGGTGTTGATGAAGAGATATTCGTGTGGGTATAGGTGTTTGTGTGAAGAGATATGCCCACACGAGCTCGCAGCCCCACAATCACACGCGATACCATTCAGTTTTTTCTATTGATTTCTTTGAAATCATAAAGATTATTTATCATCTAATAAACTTCTTTGTTGAAGCAGAATCTAGACTATGTTAACTGTTCTCTTTCTCAGTCTCGTTGAAATCAGAAGCATATTTAAGCATCAAGAAAAGTCTTTTTGTACTGTCATTGTGTTCCATGCCGTTGTAATGGTGCTGATGAAGCTGCTCCAGATTAACCTATTTGCATCACTACCAACTCGACCGCAGTAATGCAGGGTCGAAATTCATTTTCCGAACCATGATACCAGTTAAAACTACACCTTCCTTAGGTTTTAGATATTTTCCATTCTCCGCTTTAAATAAGGGTGTGGGTGGGGTGTGGGTGTGGGTGTGGGTGTGGGTGTGGGTGTGTGGATGTGGGTGTGGGTTGATGTGAGTTTGAGGGCTGGGCATGAATCTTCACTTTTACAACGCTTGCTAACGCGCAGACCCGCCGTGGGAACCAGACACCCACAGCCAAAAGACTGTTGTTATGTACCGAAGCAGTTCTATAGTTCTAATGGATTTTTGCCCTGTCCATATCTGTAAAATGAACTCGCATGACTTCCATTGAATGGCTATTTTAGTTTCATCCACTATGAGCTGGTACTGTGATTAAGTATACAATTGATTATTACAACCACAAAAGGTAACAGTTGGATGGCATTTCCAACATATGATGTTTTCAATAGACGTCATTTGAGGGTGTAATTAATATTTTGCAGGTATTCTAAGTATGAATTGGATTCATTCATGAGTTTACTAGTTGTGATATACCTAGTTTATCGATGTATTGGTAATTCGCCAGTCACTTTTTATCGAGATAGTCTACATTCATTTTTATTGCGTCTTCATAAACTGGTCTTAAGAGTAATCGTTTTTATTATGCATTTTTGTTTTATCTTGCCGAATTATACAGCGTTGATTTCAACGAGTCACTTAAAACATCCATAATTTTAGTGATACAAAACATCAATTATAACTTTCATCCAAGCTTTATGATAAGAACTTAAAGTCACCCATACGTTATTTATGACTCAGTGGGTTTTTCTCCAAAGATAAGACAAAAACAACACATTAAAGATAGATTAAAAGCAAATAAAAAAGGATTCAAGATGAAGTTTTCTTTTCAGCGAAACAGATGATGAAATTATTTTCGTTTGTGTCGTTTGTGATAAACTATTATTTACGATGAAAATTGACACCAAAAACAAACTGAGACTACGAGAATTTTTTCACTGAGAACAATCAGATTTACATAATGGTTGGGTGTCATTTACTTTTATGAAACTGGAAAGTCTGAAAGTTGGTGTTAACCGTTTTACACCACTCATGTAGAATAATGCATAGTAAAGGAGGGAGACTAATTAAGAAAGAAGTAGCTTGAGCTATTTCAGTTGAAATCTTGCAAATGTGACTGGCTTATGAATGTCTTCAAAATATCTATAGCGGGCTTTGGAATACGACACCAGAAGACAAGATAATATGTATGCAATTAACTTTGATTTCGATGTGGCGAAAGATCCACGAAAGTTTTAGGCATTTTCTCTTTCTGTGATTTATAGAGAGTAGCTTTCATAATACCTTAGTATTGACAAAGTGCAAGGCAAAAAGAAGTAAATGATTGAATTTACTGTTGAAGCTCCCTTTGAAACCATGAAAAAACAGCAGTTCATGTTTGAAACAAACCTGCTATTCAACTAGTTTCAAGAATAATAATTAACATTCTTTAATTTCAGTTAACAGACATTACATGCTGCACACAAGGGTTGATGTTGAGAGTGTATTTTTAATAGACAAGACAGATATTTTGTAAAAGAAATATAAACATCATTATATTCAAATTTTCGTTTTGCAAAGAATCAAGACACGAAAAGAAAATGCCTTTTGATACCGTATCATCTTTAGCATGGTAAAACCATCTCATGTATTTAATAGAGCAAAAAAGACTCATCTTGGTAATCCAAAGACGTATATATTGTGACTCCACATTACCTTTTCGTGTCATGTTTTATTTATTAATCAGGTTTTAAATGTGTGCATTTGTTTTCAATAAGCAAATGAAAGAATTAGAAATTAAGGATATCAATTAGCAGCTGAAAGCCTATTTGAAAATGGTAAATACGATGAATTTTCTGTTTGCTTAAGAAAATAACGTTACAACTTGTTAAGACGAGACACGTCTTATGTTATCTATGTGTTTGATTCTTTCGTCTTATCGCGTTTGATTCGAAATGCGTTTAGTTACTTTTGCTCACAGTATATTTTCACAGCTGTCTCATAGTAAGAAGGAACAAAAACTCTATTTGAGTTTTCTTTATAAGTGTTCTTAAAGAGTAAAATATTTTCATGTTCATGGAACCGTTAAGTTTAATACAATTATAAAGAGATTGAACATCCATTTATAGTCCAATGCTCTCACATTCCAAAACATAAAAGTTAAACATGTTTTTGGTTTTAAAAAATGACTTTCATTTAATAATTGAATTTTATTCAATTAGTATGAATGCAGAGTTAATGCATGTAGGCGAGTCCAGCTGGTACTTCATCAAATGTACTTTTACTTTAACGTTATTTTTCATATGTATACTTAAGGTCTAAGCATGTTCACAATTCAAAGATTTGAATCTTCGTGTAATGCTTTTCGAATCTTCCTTAGGGAGTCATAATCAGATAGTTTCGAAATCAAGGAGCTCTATAAAGTGTCATAGGGAACTACTTACCATTGGAGATTCAATGAAAAAGAAGTGATAAAGATGTCCGAGACAGAGCATTTAATTCAAAAGGAGTATCTAATTAAGAAAATATTTATAGCTATTTTGATGAAATGTGATTTTTCATAGAATAGATACAAAGTGTCGTAAGACATGCTCCCATTGGAGCCTAACCTAGTCAAGGTCAAACATATTCTGAATCTAAAAGTTAGAAAGATAATCATAGGAGCTCACTCATTTTCAGAAGTAGATGAATAAAATAAAAGTGAAAAAAGGTAAGCAACATACAAAGTTTTTAACGAAATCAGCATATTTCATTGTATAGAAGTACCTGAGCCTATGAATGGCATATTTTTAATAAGTATAGTTCAAGGAATCCACCAACGTCGCGACTATTGTACAACATTCATACTTAGCAGAATCGATAAGACTTCAAAATTATTATTACTTCAAACATATTCTATGCAGAAAAGTAATTTAATTGAAAAAGACATGTAAAAACTGATTAGCCCAGTTACAATGATTCGCTGTTTCTCGAAGGAAATCTTAGAACATAGACTGTTTCGAAAGGAATGAGGCTGAGAATATCTGAATGTGCTGTATTAACTCACATCTAAATTGTCATTAATACATTTACTTTTCTTTGATCAATATTTTACAGTCTCCGGACATATTAAAGGCTTTTAATGAATTTGTATGATCGTGACACTTAAGTGTGGGTGTGGGTGTAGGTGTGGAATGAGAAAGAATACACCCACACCCACACACCCCGTGTTATTCATCTGAAGAGATTCTGTTGAACGAAAAATCAAAGCAAAAGTTGACTTAGAACAAACTAGGAGTCAATACTACGTGATCTCATTCACTGATTTTCGTCATACTTCTATTCTATAGTTTTAGACTTTTATCTATTGATTTTGATATAATTTCTGAAAACTTATTCTAAATTACACGTCTTTTTTAATAACTTGAGATTATGCGATTGCGAGTTTTTCGTCATAAGATACAAATGATGTATAATGTCACAATTTCGTTTCCATATAATGTAGGAGTTTTTCTAGTCTATTTTACGAAAAAATATGGTCGGTTGAGTAAGCCATCTCACTTCTATTGTCTCTACCAACAGAACAGTTTTGTAATTCCTTGAAATTTCGAAATAACCTAATAATGGAAAGTACGTAGCATTAAATAGTTCAATTTCTAGTAAAGGTATCGTAGGCTATCAAACATATTGTGAAAACTTGTACATATACATAGAAAAATATGTCATAATAGTTTAGAGAAAAAGCATGAAATTTGATGAAGTTCTTCGTCATTATCGTGATGGAGTTCCTAAAAGATGAATGGTTCAACTAAATTTAAAAAAGAAGTTAGTGATGAATTCCTGTTTATAACTGGAATCAGTGATTCACGATCGAGTGTACCGAACGGTAACAGAAAGGCTGCCATTAAAATAAGTCTTAGAAAAGAGAGATGTTCCTATTACTGTTTTTCTTTCCTGTTTCCTGTTCCTGTCAGTCTATGGCGAGAGAAAAGACTTTTGCTAATGTTACTCATGCAGATCGATGATGGCACGGATAGGTTTTTTTGGTAAATCTATAACATTTTATGAGACAGGCTCGGAGAAGGAGGATCGATTATTCTCACCTTAAATTGAAACATACATTTTCAAATTGTTCTTCTCAAAGACATTGAACTATAAGGCCTACTCTAGCGACTATGTTTTCTGTGATACCTTGCCAGCCATTCCAATGAGGGTGTGAGTGTCACTGTGCGCCTACCTGTCGATATGAGCGTAATCGAAAAGAACTATGCCCCCACAAACGAGCCCACACCCACACTCCATATGTTTACTATCTTACTTTATATTTAATTTCTGTCATGCGCTTAAAGAGTATTACTCATGCCAACCCTAATAACTTGTTAAATTGGTATTCCTTTAGTTGGTGTTTCACTGGTAACATTAAAGATGGTGTTCCCCCTCATCAAAAGTGTTCCACTATGTAACTCTAAAGTTACATAGTGGAACACCAACTAAAGGAATACTTGTTGAGTTTTACTAATGTTTGTTTTCTTTTGTCGTCCGTTCTAGTTCATTCATTAAAAAATATTTGAATGTCTAATACATCAAGAGAAAAAATTTATGGTGTTGATGAATCTGAACGTAATGCACGTTTATTACGCATTAAAGTTTTACAAGCCACTGATTTACAACGACGAGATTCTTTTGATGGATCAGGAGATCCATATATACAAATTTTACTTCAATCTCGTGAAAATCAAAATCAAACAATTGATACAGCACGTACACGTACTGTATCCAAAACACTTAATCCGCTATGGAATCAAGATTTTATTTTTCGAGTAAATAAGACTTTCAAGAAAAAGAAAGCACTTACTTATCTTTTGACTTGTCAGGTTGACCCAACTAAACACCGTCTTGTATTCAAAATATATTGTCAAAATCCATGTGTATGTATAGAATACCTTCATTGGAAATAAAATAGAGATTAAATATTCTTATTTTTAAGAGTAAGGATGAATTTCTTGGTATGTTTTTCGTTAAGCTCAATATAAATATTCCGTATGAATCAGCTGAACAAGCGATGTTAACAAAAGATTATCCATTATTCAAACAAAGGTTAGATTAAAACAAACGAATAGATTTTTCTAATATAGAAAAATTTGCTTTCAGTGTTCCTCAACATGTTTGTGGTACTGCAACAATAGAGTTATGTTATGTTAATCCAACGACCTTCTCAACACGGACTGGTTCAATAGAAAATGGAGGCATACAACGTAATGATGTAAGATATTTTTTATTTTTGTGACAAAAATTAAAATTATGCTGTTGGATAGTCTGGACTTGAGGCAATTCAGCATGATAATACAACTGAATCAATAGCTGCAGCTACTCAAACACCATTGCCACCAGGATGGGAAGGTAAGAAACAAAATTTTCTTGATTTTTTTAAAGCTCGTCGACTTTTTATTTAATAGAACGAAAAGATGCTAGTGGTCGCACTTATTATGTTGATCACAATACTCGTACAACAACTTGGAATCGTCCCAATGAACGAAAGTATTAATTTGTCTTTGTTTCTTAATCCATTCTTTATTTCGCCTTTTAGTGCTGCTGCACCCGAACGACCACAACCGCAAATTGGTGATGGACATCAAAGTGGTGATCGGCATCAAATTGATGATGGGGAAACTAATAATACTAAAGCGAAACCATCGGCGAGTCCAGCAGCAGCTTCACACGATGCAACAGATAGTGCTTCATCGAATAATCGTGGCCCATTACCACTCGGATGGCAAACGTTTAAAACAGAAAATGATCGCCCAGGGCGAAACTGACCAATAGGATCCTATCGGATCCCATGAATTCCGACAGAATCTTTGGTATCGGATTCCGACAGGAAGTTGTCGGATGATGGAAAGTGTCGGAATAACCGTGATTCCTGTCGGAATTCTGGTATTCCGACACTTTCCGACATCCGACAACTTCCTATCGGAATCCGATACCAAGGATTCCGACAACTTCCAACGGATTCATGTCGTATCCGATATAGTCCGACAGATTTTCCGATAGGATCCGACGGGATCCAACTGTCGGATCAGTCGCCCTGGGCGGATATGTTTTATCGATCATATTAATAAAAAAACAACTTGGGTAAAAGCAGATGTGAACGAAAGAAAAGTTTTCTTAATTATCATTTTTTTGTAAAGATTGATCCTCGAACAGGTAAATCAAGTGCATCACCGTCAGTTCAGCATGAACTCAATCAAAATGGTTCATTACCAGTGAGCAGAAAAATACTAGAAAGAATATTCATTATTCACTGAATTCGTTTTAGGAACATTGGGAAGCTCGAACTTTACCAGACGGTCGGGTATACTATATTGATCATTGTAAGAATTGATGTTTTTCTAGGGAATGTAATTAGTTTCGTTTATTTTTAGTCAATAAAAAAACAACTTGGACACATCCACGCATTGCTGAACCAGTACATATAAAAAGAAAAAGATCGGTCTGATTAAGATTTTCAGAAAATTGCAAGGTTCGAGACAAAGCTAATCCATGCATGATGTATAAAAGCATAATTTCATACTCTGTACATAGAAATAAATGTTTAAAATGTAAATGATATTGACATTATGAAGGCGATTATGATCATACTCTTGATACAACTCACACACTTGTTCTGAGAGGGTCAATGTTTGCACTAATGATTCTAACTAATTCAAATTCATTTCGAGGTTGAATATAGACTATTTAATTTTCACTGTAAGCCTCGTTATTTGTTAAAATATCCGATCAGCAATGACAATAATAGTAAGCATCAGTGAATCTCACAAACATCTGCCGGTGTACCACAATACATATATACGGAATATGACAGCCAAGAGTGTAAGACTTCATAAAGTTTATTTGTCACTTATAGCCTTTCACAAAAGTAGTTCTTAAAAGGATAATTATCTTTTGATTTGTTTTTATCTTAAAATAAGAACATAAAATCTCTCAGTATATAAAAGATACAATTTTATTAGAGATGTGTTTTAAAATGCGAACAGCCAACAATTTCAAAATCTTTTTATTGAATTATACTCTTTGAGACAGTTTGAAATAGAAATTCAAAAACTTGCTGTCGTATAATCGTTTGTGATATTTGTTTAATAGATACTGTAGAAGTGCAATATCTGCACAGCACAGAACTCCTAGTGCAAACTATTCCCAGGATATTTTTAGCTCATTGAAATCTATATAATATACAAAGTAGTTTATTGGTTAGGTTACATTTTCTCATCCTAGTGAAAATTTCTATTTTATCAATTCGTTGTATTTTTTTTTCTTAATCTATTAAGTAGAAATGATTACAACTACAACTTAACATTTTTAGACTGTTCCACATTCACGTGATTATGAAGAAAAATACCGTTTATTTCGAAGTCATTTACCTCGACCTGAAGCTCATGTTGGTCCCCAAATCGAACTGCATATTAATCGTAAAGATGTTGTGGAATCGTCATTTCGAGCAATAATGAGCATAAAAGATGTTGAAGTATTGAAAACACGGTAAGCTATAAAGAAAAAAAAACCTTTTCTTTTTATTCAATATTCTTCATTGAAGACTTTGGATAGTTTTCGATGGTGAACAAGGTTTAGATTATGATCGTTTAAGTCGTGAATGGTTTTTAATTCTTTCACGTGAAATATTTAACCCGTATTATGGTTTCTTTGAATACAGTGCTCTGTAAGTTATTTTCATGTTTTTTGTCTGATAAGAATGCAAACAAAATTTTATTTATCGAAGTGATAATTACGCACTTCAAATTAATCCATTATCGGGTGTATTTAATGAAGAACATATAAAATATTTTCGTTTTATTGGACGTATTATTGCTATGACTATATATCATGAAAAATTACTTGAAGGTTGACTTTTTTTCTTTTATATATATATAAACTCAATTTCGTTGTATTTATCTCTTAGCATTTTTTATTCGGCCATTCTATAAAATGTTGTTGTCAAAATCAATAACCCTTGCTGATATAGAATCGGTCGATCATGAATATTGTCAATCATTGAAATATATTGTTGATAATGATCCAGCAGATTTAGGTCTATATTTTGTTGTTAATGAAGAAGTACTTGGTGAAGTAAGTTATTTAATATTGTTTGTTGTAAATCAATGACTTTTTTAAATTTAATTTAGTTACGTGAACATGAACTTAAGCCTGATGGTCAACATATAAAAGTAACTGAGCAAAATAAACAAGAATATATTGAGTAAGACAAAAAATAAATCAGATTTTAACAATTATATAATTATTATTGATTAGTTTGCTTATCAACTATCGGTTTGTCCAACGCATAGCATTACAAATGAATGCATTAAAGAAAGGTTTTCAAGAGATATTACCACTTGAAAGTATTAAAATATTCGATGAAGAAGAAGTTGAAGTATGCAACCAAAAACAAGAAATTGTATTTTTTCAGAATGTATATATTTTAGCTGCTAATAAGTAGTCTTGGTAAAACTAATGTGGACGATTAGCGAACCCATACAATGTAAAAAGGTGGTTATGTACCACATGATCCTGTTATACAAAATTTCCGGAGGGTAAGTATTGAAGAATGATGAGACAATATATTTTTAAGATTATTTTTGCGCTTGTAATTTTTATGGCAAATTCAACGATGTACCAGTTAATGTGCTTCCTATGTTAAAATTTAATACTGCATGAGCAAAAGAGAGGGTGGGGGTGGGTGTGGTGGTGTGAGTGTGGGGTATGGGGGGTGGGTGTGGGTGCATCTGTGAAGGTATTGTATCCACAACTAGACCCGCACCCGCACCCACACCCCGAACATAGAAGTGAAATAGTGTAAACATTAATGTATTCGAACTGCACGCGAAATACTAAATCAGAATTGATACGAAATGTATTAACTCTTTAATATTCATATAATATTATTTTCATCAATCTAGAAAGAAAATTAATTAATCCATGTTTCAGAACGGATCCCCCCTCCCCAGAATAAAAGCGCATGGACTTTTATAGTGTTTCAGTACATCGTTATTTTTTCGGTGGCCTTCTATTGAGAGCCAATTTTTAATTAAAAATTAATTCATAATCTCAATTATTTGTTTTTAGACTTTTTCACTGAAAAAACTATACTATTTACGATAGGACAGCGAGGATTTCGCAAAAAATCGATTATTTTGACGAAACATTCATTAAAAATACTGCATTTTTGTAATTAATTAGTGCATGGCCTTATACAGAGAGTGGCCGCCTATTTGCGGGGGGGGGGGGGGTTTGTTCTATTGTTTCTTTGTTGTTCT